AATCTTCTGCAAGGGCTTGTGTGCACCAAATATGTGTGAGCTGGGTGAACTGGGCTGTATGTACAATTGAACACAGGTCACGGGCAGAAGGTGAAAAAGGTAGTTCAGGTGTTATTAGAGGGATTACATGTGGAAAGGAGTTGATGTGCCTTTTTTCTGTCATTGCAAGAGCATTGCAAAAGGTTGAAGGGACGGTAGGAGCTACAAGCATCAGAAGTTCTTACATACTGCTCACTTGGGTGTTTCTACTTGGCTGCTGTTCAGTCCTGTTTCTGCCTATCTGGGCCTCTTTTCATGGCCATTTTTCACCACTATTTCCAGCCCCTTGCCTCTGGAGGTTTGTGCTTCTTTTTGCCAAGTCTGTCCTTGGGTGGCAGCTGAAGTTTTCATCTCCCAGTTCAGCATAATTCAGAATACATGAATTGCCTTATATTTTGTGCACATGCCCTCGTATGCAGGAAATACACATATTTGTGAGGTGTTAACTTCAGCCATACAGCTCAGGGGCCTGGGCTTTCTAAGTAGTAAGCATGGAAGGCCATAGGCTCTTAGCTTGGACACAGTATTGCCTTCTGGACACAGTATCTCCTCTGTGAGCACTGGCTCCTAATTTAGGCACCCACGTTGAAGAACCCTTTCCCTTACTGTATGCCTGCTGTTTGATTCTTCTTGTTTCGTGGTGGTGCAACACAGGAGTTATAATCAGCACTTCATTCCTCTGCTAATTATTCCTCCCATCTGGATGGAAATGATGTGCTTCCCTGCTTTCTGCCATTTATAGAGAAGTGTCTGCCTGTGCTTTTTTTTCCCTCAGCCTTACTTTTCACTCCTTTCTCAGCATGAGACAGGCTTGCTGAATCTGCCTCTGCTTCCCATTTGCCACGTGTGAGAGGCTGAGCAGAGGAACATTGTGTGCTGCCTCAGGACTCGGTGGGGCTGACCTGCAGAGCATCACGGAGTGAAGAATTGCAACTGCTGGACAAAACTCATTGATGCTTAAGCTCAAGGCACTGCATTCCTCAGGACTTTTCTGACGATCACTGGTTATTTTATTTATTTATTTATATATTTTCCCATGTGGATCAATCATTAAATTGCCTGTGAGAACTTCTGAAGATAAATGTCGCATAGATAAATGTCCTGCTTACTCAGCAGTTCGGTACGTAGAATGCAAGAGAATGGGAAGCTTGGAAAAAAGAATGCTTATGAAGGGAACTGATCCGGAAGCAGGGATAGTGATTAGAGACAGTGTTTGCCAAAGACTTGCTATTTCATGTGACCATGTGCATTCCAGGGGGCTGATTCAGCTTACTTTGAAGTCAGTGATAGTATGCTGTTGTCTTGTGTGGCAGTTGGATGAGTCTTATTAAGACAAGCCTGGCCTCTATACAGTGTAATATTTCTCCTTTTGGCTTCCAATAGAGATATCTGTATGGAAGGAACGAGGATACTTCCTTTCTCTTTCAGTGTAAATGTGTTTTCTTTTTGCAACAAATCCAAACGAATGCAAAAGCACTGCAGGCTTGCAGATTGTGAACATTCCTTGCCTGGATCTTGGGACTTAGAGAAGGGACAGTGTTGAGGAGAAAGGCAAGAGATCAAAGCTGCAAAGCTCTGATCTGACCCGTCTTTATGGAAACTTCCTCCATTTTTGTGCTGCAGCAGCAGAGCAGTAGCAGCCCATCACTGCAGCTCTTTCCCAGAGCCTCTCTCCAGTGTGGGACTCACACCTGCTGGTGGCCACTAGTTCCCAGGCCTTTCTCCCATGGAAGAAAGCCATTGTACAGCCAGATGGGGTTAAAAGCTGCTCTAAGGCAGTTCAGGGTACCTTCACATCTTTCTAGCTTACCAGACATCAGGGGCTTCTTGTCACTTGTACAGAAACCAGTCTGAGCTGCCTAATGCTTGCTTTGCATAGCTGGTCTTTTGTGTCTCATCTACCAGGGAGAACATGCATACTAAATGTGGTGGCTGTCTCAGGTATGAAAATTGTTGAAGACCTAGACAGAAGAATAATCTCTTCTAGTTTACTGCCTGAACCAAATACTTGGTTCAAATGCCAAATCAGCAAAACCAGTTTGTTCTGGATTGATCAGACTATTTCATTATCAGAGATTTGGTGTGGAAGGAGGTTATTCTTTTTAAGGAAAAAAAAAACAAAACCCACCAACATATTTGGTCTGAAGGCACCATTTCAAAATAAAAAAAAAAAACAAACCAAAACCAAATAACCCTCCAACCCCCCCCCCCGAAATAATTTGATTTTTAAGCAAATGAGAAAAAAAAAAAAGAAGAGAGAAGAGAAAAGAGAAAAGAAAAGAAAAGAAAAGAAAAGAAAAGAAAAGAAAAGAAAAGAAAAGAAAAGAAAAGAAAAGAAAAGAAAAGAAAAGAAAAGAAAAGAAAAGAAAAGAAAAGAAAAGAAAAGAAAAGAAAAGAAAAGAAGCTAGCGTTCTTGAACAGCAAACCAGTCATCTGAAGAAGCTCTTGCAGCTCTAGGGAAAGGGTTAAAATCCCCTATGGTGTCTCCACTGACCTCCACATTACACTGAAGAGGAAACTGGTCCAAGCTTTCTTTTGGTAAAGAATCTGAGTTAGAAAAGCCACCTCTAATCACGGTTCATTGCTCCTCCCTCTTATCCAAGACTTCTCTGGGCCTGTTTCTATACTTAATATTATAGGTCAACATTAGTAATGTTGAATTAAATTGGGTTCAAGCAATTTTGTTCTACATTGTGACTTGGAAAGAGAATCACCCTAAAACTTTTAAACTTTTTACACTTAAAAGAAAAAAGGTTTTTTTTTGGTGGATGGGCTGTTTCTTCTCAGGAGTTTGGACATTCTGCAGACTAATGTAATAACATATGTTTTCACAAGGAAGCATATGTTTGAGCACTGTCTCATGTAGCTGGGTACTTTGAAATCTGTTAAGCCATTCTAAAATGCTTGCTTGACCCATAGTTGACTTGGGCTTAAAGAAATTTTATTGTGCTAGTACAGCCCAATTAGTTGTGAGTAAGCATTTTGCAAAGCTGACTGTTTACTATTGTTGTTATTGTCATATCTGGAGCTTTAGCATTTACAAGTAACAGAATTAGTGTGTAATATCTATTTATTTTTCTTCCTACAGAAGGAATCAATCTACATTTGTAGCCTTAAGTTTTTTAGGAGTATTTGTTGCTTAAGGTTTACCCTGTTTATTGCATTCATCAAAAGGTCTGTCTTCAAAGTACCCTGAATGAATTCTTCCTATGTGGCATGTGGACTGACTATGATGATAGAGTAGCCTCTAGAATCAGATTCCCTCTGCATGAAATAATAAGCTGTGATTGCCAGTTTAAACATTCTTCAAGAACAGCAACAGCTATTCAGGCTTCTAATTAAAACAAAGCTGAAACGTTCACTGTTGTGCATATATATGACTAGAAATCTTAGTATGATGTGCTACCAAAGAGAAACTGTATTTTTGGTTGTTAATATGTGAACTTGCTAAGCGAAACCTCCTATGGCTACAACTGATGAATCAAGCAGCCTCGTGCTTCCAGGCTTAACAATACAGTACAAAGCCCAAACTGCTTTTGTTTTCTTTTGTACATAAGGAAATGTAATTTTCTGTCTAGAACAAAAGAAAACTGGTAATGAAGTGAACTAGGTATTGCCTAATTCATTTGCTCTTATTGAAAACACCTATTCCTCAACTGTCACCTCTGTAAAAGAGGTATTTTCCCTAACAGTGTGAATAATGATCTATGCTATAGCTTTCTGTCCTCAGTTCTTAATTGATCCAGTATGAGGTAAAACCTGAATTTCTTACATTTAATAGCTTTTATTGCAATATATTCTGTACTAAATGCATGAGCTTTAGAGTCATCTTTAGATATAAAACCAAAATCAAATTGGTTCAAAAGCTTTGAACTTCCTGCATGTTTCAAGTTTCTGCAAATTCAGATTTCATATTGGACTAGATCACTTTTGGGGCGATGATTTTCTGTGTAAGATGGTTGGAAAACTGGAAGGACCCTGTGTTCAAATGACCTGAAGTTCTAAACCAGTTGCTGCTTATGAACTGGCTGAAGAAATGGATACAAATTGTTTATTTCACTGATGGCACTTATTCATCTTCATGCTTCTTTGTTCAGTGAAAGGTTTAGAGAGGTCAGGAGTTTCGAGAAGATGGTGACTTATTCCACTAGTTCCTATGCTGCTGAAGTGTATTGGATCACATTTAAATCTGGACAATAAATTTTGGTCCTGTTTTTCAGATGTTATAAATTCAAATTTTGCAGTCTGCTTGTTGATGTATTTTTCATTTATGTCATATTTAGTGATAAACCTTTCAAGCCTCTCTATATTACTGGCAGGATGAGTTTCCTTCTGGGAGATATTAATTTAATATAAACTGAAATGAAGAGCTGCTTAATTAGAAGGCATGATCTGTTTTAAAGGACACTGAGGATGCAGTATGGTTGGGCAGAAATCTTCCCTCATCTTTTACATTTCCAATCTTCTCTCTTGGCACTGCTGAGCTGAAGTGTTTGTTCTTTCTCTGCCTTCTCTCAGGGGAAGAGAAAGATGAAGGTAGCATCAAATAAAAGTTGTCTTATTGTGTTTAAGAGTGATATGTTGAGAACAGTTATTTATTGGTATTCATTTCACCCTGTGAGTGGCTGCTATAGATTTATAAAATCTACTGATAGACTTTAAAGTAGTTATGTGCCTTAACTTTTATATATCAATAAATTTTCCACAGCTGCAGATGCTCAGAAGCACATCTTGTGAAATCTTTGCATCTTATTAAAAAAAAAACAGTAAAAAAAACCCAAAGAAACTTGTCGACCTCATAGCCAAGTTCTCCTCCAAATACTTCCAGCTGCAGCTAGAGGGATGAGTCATGCTGAAAGCTGAGGAGCTTTTCTAAAAGCCTTTCACTTGGTTCACATGATTTTTTTTAACTCTACATTCCTGTCTGTTTTTTTTCTTAAAAAAAAACCCAAAATGTGCAGGCGAGTCACCCAAGGAAAACCCATATGAAGATGTGGAGCTGAAAGGCCGTCATGCGGGCCGAAAACCTCATCAGCTCTCCGAGAATTCCCTAGATTCTTTGCACAGGATGTGGACGCCGCAGGACAGGAAATACACATCACCTCCCCAGGTAATGCCAGACTTTCTGGGCTTGAAGCTTGTTTGAAACTTTATTGAGAAAATCAATCATGGCATAAGAGAAAGAGCAGTTGTATCAAACGGGAAAGGGTATCTGGAAAAGGAGTACAATCAAATGCATAAATTGTTGCTGGGAATGCTCTTGGCAGCTGTGGCTCAGCTTCTCAGCACCGTGCTGCTGAAGCTGATGGCTCTTTGTGCTGGGCTACAGCCTGATGAGTTTCAGCAGAATCCTTCCACCGGTTGGTTGTGAGCTGAATCTGGCCCTAAGTTATCTGTATGGCTGCATCAGTTTGTGAATTGCCTCTGCACTTGCTGCTGGGCTTTTAGTTATAAAAAGCTGCCTGGCTTTAGGAAGGGAAAAGTCAGCTGTTTAATCTTGCCCATGTATTGTTACATGTGGCCTATTGTGACTTTGCTTATGTGAAGTGCATAGCGTGGCATGTTTTATTGTAAAATGGTGAAGGCCAAGTATTCCCCCCCCCCCGCCCCAGTAAATGAATAATAAAATAATCAGAAAAACCTGAGTGTCTGCATTTAACAAGGCTGTATAAGTTGTGTTTACAGCATAAAGTAAAAGACCTGGAACTCTGCAGGCTTTCCATTTGGTGGTGAATTTTCCAAAGCAGTCTGTTTTTTGTGAAAGCTGTGCAATGCCAGGTTGCTTTGTTGTTTATGGGATCATTGTGTTTGTAAGGAAAAATATAAATTTCATCACATACTTAATTTTGAGGTTCAAAACGCCTTTTAAAAAAAACTTTGTTTTCCATTGAATCAATAGAAACTTTGCACTTGAGCAAAAAGGTCACAATAACTTACAGTTTTGTCTTGTAAAGAGACCTAGAACAAAACTGATTATATTTTCTTTCACTTTTTTTGTGTGTATGTGTGCATCACAGTCCAAGAGACAAAAGATGTCTCACCAAGGTTCTTAGTATGCACCTAGCACATCGTTTATAAAACAGGAGTGGTTTGAGCAAAGCTGCTGAAAAGGGGACAAGTGAAAAGTAGTAATTGGGCAGAGTAAGGAGAAACAGAAACCGCAGCCATGAAGATAACTTGTAATAAGAAGCATTCTATGAGTAACAATTATTTTCAGCAGGAATTCAACAAGAATTGTGTAGCATCTAGAGGATCCATCAGGGTTTACAATTAGGGTAGGAACCATACAGGTCTATAGTAAGATACTGTTCCCTGTTTTCTGTTTTACACAGGGTGACCAAAGAATGCACAGATTAAAATGAATTCTGTAAAGTTGCTCAGTAAATAAGCCCTCTCTGGTATCTTTGCAACAGGGCTATCTTTATTCTGGTATCTTCTTTTTTAAATGCTGCCAGGAGTTTCCTGCCAGGAGTCTGTCCTGCCATAGTTGTGCTGTCACTGTGCTGATATTTAAAGGCAAGAGACACTAAGAGCAGGTCAGCTATGGACCTGGGTAATTCTCCAATGACCAGAAATAGAAAAGTCTCAATTTCCTGAAGGATAGAGGCTTTGGCAATGATTTATCACCCAGTTTTCCATCATAGCAACATAGCTGGATTAGCAACCTTACTTTTCAGTCATGGATGATGGTAAACAAGATGGAAGAGATCAGAAGGTCAGCAGTGTTTCAACAATTATCTCCAAAAAGAATTCCTTTCATTAAAGTATAGACTGCTGCAGATTTTCCTGGCATGCTTACCTGTGTTAAGCAGAGGCCTCTGAAACACTGGCTTGTGGTCATTTTGAATCCCACTATGTCTTCTTCTCTCCCATTCATCAGATTTTGAAGTCATCAGGTATAAAAATAATGTTTTATTGGTGACATACGTGTGACGCAAACTCCACACCTACAGAAACACCTATGCTTAATCCCAGATAGTATGGTGCTGTAACAGTTAAGCTCTCCAAGTAAAACAAATGGGTCATTTCTTACTGCAGGTTTTTAGCTTACAATACTGCTAATAGAATATTAGTAAATGCCAGTTGACAGCTGTTTAATACACTGGTACTTTTTTCCTAGACATGCTGGTTAAGCTGCTTACAGTGTTTGCTCTCAGGAGGAGACCTGGCCTTGCCAGCCAGCTGATTAACCTTCCAAAGAGCTGGGCAGAGCTGCTCAAATGGCTGCTCCAAAAGAACCCCAGTTTTTAAAAGATAGCTGTTATTTGGTGCTTAATCCTGTCAGTGAGATTTTTCCCTTTCCACCTGCAATAAGTTTTGTATTTTAAATGGAATTCTTTGGAAATGCAGGACTGGGTAACCATACCTCTGTACATTGGCAGATCTTGAAACTACTTAACATCATAGATATAGAATAAGCTTGATTTTCTATCTTTTCTCTAAGAAAAAAATAGCAGCTTCTATGTAGTTGCTCTTGATTTTCATTACGGTAAGTGAAAGAGATGGATCAGGTCAGTGTTCTGATGTCAGCCAAGCCTTTAAATTAGGTTTGAATGCTCATAAAGTTAATGTGATGTGGGAACATGGAAATGCACCAAAGCCAACAGTACTATTGTTTTCTTTGAAATTTGAAGTGTTAGTTATTGACCCCTGCCCCTTCATTTTGACCTTAAAAACTCACTTTGCACATAACCCGCAGAGGAGTGTCTCACCTGGCATGATGTCCTTGTGTAGTCACCACTGCTCACAAAGACCTGCTTCTGCACTAAGTGTTGCTGAGGAGGGGAAGAACTCAACCTGTTCTTGTTCCTGTAGCTGCCTTCGAAGCCCAGCAGCCAGTCTCTGCGCATCAGCAACTGGTCAGAAAGGAAGAGCCACCGCTTGCCACGGCTGCCCAAGCGGCACAGCCACGATGACATGCTTCTGCTGGCTCAGCTTGGCATTCCCTCCTCCCCTTCCAGCATCAACGAAGATAGCCTGAGTACCACAAGTGAGCTGCTGTCTACACGGCGGGCCAGGAGGATCCCAAAGGTACTGGCAGTGTGATCAGGGTTACCCTGAGGATAAGTCACCTGTCTGCAGAAGCTTGTACTATCTAGCCTTTAGCAATTGCTGAAAGTTTTTTTTGAATCCTAAGGGAAAATTGAGATCAAAACAGAAACAGTCACTCTCAGGACACAAGACAAACTCCTTTTTCACATGTAGTCATATTGTGAAAATCCCTTCTCTAGAAGTGGGTAACTGCCCTGATCCAAAAGTAGCAAACATCTCATTGCCATCCTTGTGCAGAGTTGATTTTAAGCCAATTCTGTTTTCCAGACTTCACTTTAAGCTCTGTGGACAAGTGCATTGTTGTGTACCTAACTATGATTTTGAATGGGTGATGGCCAAGCAATTATTATTTATAACATGCAGCAGAATCTGAAGTTATTTTTTTACCCCCATCATTTCTTTACTGGTCTCAGGAAAATAACAACTATTGGCCTAGTATGTTCTCCTTCATTTACTCACAAGCCACCTGTGGTGGTTTAAACCCAGCCAGACAGCTTGTTCACTCACTCCCCCCTCTTCTTGCCCTCCCCCTACTCCCGGAGGAACAGAGAGGAGAATTGAAAAGAATGCAACTCCCATGGGTTGAGATAAGAACAGTTTAGTAACTAAGGTATAACACAAATCACTACTGCTACTACCAATAGTAATAATGATAAAGGAAATAACAAGGGAAGAGAATACATCATCTCACCACCAGCCAACCGATAACTCGCCCCCCCCCCCCAGCCCGACCAAGCTCTGACTGATACCTCCTCCAACCCTGCAGTCTCCCAGCCCTTCCGGCTAACTCCCAGTTACATCCTGGGCATGACATGCTGTGGTATGGAATACCTCTTTGGTCAGTTTGGGTCAGGTGTCCTGTCTCTGCTTCCTCCCGGCTTTTCCTCCTCCCTGGCCAGAGCATGAGGCTCACAAAGTCCTTGGCCAAACCAAAACATCCTTGTTATCAGCTCTGTTCCCAGGCTCAAAGTCAAAACACAGCACTGCACCAGCTACCAAGAAGGAGAAAAATGACTGCTACTGCTGAACCCAGGACACCACCCTATCTCAATAACCCTGTTGTCTTGATAGATTTGAAGCAAAAATTAATTTTCCATTTTTCAAGGAGTTTTCCAATTCAAAATGGGATGTGAAAAAATCCCAAGCCACCAGACAACAGCAAAAGAAACCAAGAAACCTCTTCTGGTACAATAGCAACAGAGAGAACTGGCAATATATTTATTTTTGGCTTGTGAGTAAAGTTAATTTTTATCATATATTCAGCTCTTTCCTATTCTTATTAGAGAGCATATTTTAAAGTACATGACTGTGAGTACTGTGAGTAGAGGGAGATTTTTATGCTCTTGTCTGAAATTCTGCCTAAGGAGGAAATTAATCCTACTTCCTTAGTATTTACTGTATTTTTACTTTCTTGGAATATACTACTGCACAAATAAGCAAACATCTGTGAAGGATTCTACTGAATAACTTGCAGATTAGCTTGGTTTTGAGTAGAACTTGGACAGTTTTGATGTTAGTTTTGTAGCCAATCTCTATTTATTTATTTATTCAAATTTAAGTGATACACATTCTCCTTATATGAAATCATGCTTTCCGCATATGGGTGTTAATAGTTTTATCATAAATCTCATAATTAATTATCATTAATTATCTCATAATTAATTGTTATAATTATCATAATTATCATAAATAATAATCTCTGGCTTTGACCACTGTACCTCCTAGAATCACACATTACTGAAGAATAGCTTTTTCTTTCTCAATCAAGCAACTATAACGTATACTTATTAGAGAGAAAAACTTGAACCTGAGAAACTCCTGTTCTGTACCACACCATTGATGCTTTCTGAAGCAATATCCAAATGCTTTAAACATCTGGGCTTTCTGTATTTTACCCTCGTTGAAGTATCTCCTGCAGACAATCCCAGCAAGGTCCCTCACTTCTAGTTCCCTATGCCTTGTTTAGTGCTTATGTGCAGCAGTTTCTGGGCCGGGGCATGTGCTGGAGCTGGGCCAGGTTTCATTCTGCTGGCTCTGCCATGATACTGTGCAGGTTCCCAGTGGGCCAGGCACATGGCTGCAAGCAGGGAAGTTCCAGCTGAGCATTGCTGGTAGGATGCACATGTCTCAGTCAGCATGTAGAGGTAAATTTCCTAATCCTACTTCAAGAAAGAAGAACCAGAAAGGACTTCAACACTTCACACTGCCTGTTCTGGGCCAGACTCTCTTCCTCTGTTGGAGGGGTTGAATGAGTTTTTGTTCCAGTCTCTGCTCTGTTACTGACTTGCTAATGTGTCCTCAGCAAATCAAGTTTCACTGAGTTTATTTCTCTCTGCAAGCTGAGGTAAAACAGCTTTTGTAAAATATATTACAGTTCTATGAGTAAAGCTGCTATGCAATGAAATATACTATTCATGACTCATAAAACATTAAGATTAATTGCTACATATTTATGACTCTTCGGAAGTTGTAATACTCTGTTCAATTACAAATTCTTAGTAATCCCAACCTCTTGTTGAAGGCACTAAACAGAAGTTATCTCATTAATATTTTTCATCATCTCAGGATAGACGGTCATTATCTGCAGTAGCCCTCCTGAAGGAAGTCATAAAGATGATTACCAGGAGTTAAAATTCTGGCTAGTGCTGATACAAGCCAGCTAAAAGTGGCACTAGCAGCTAACTTCAGAATACTTTCATGAATAAGGATAAGGTTGGAGATGGTAGATAAAGCACCTCTGATGTAAGGCAAGTACAGCATGAGTTGGAAAGGGGAGAGAGGGTAAGTCCCTAAATGCCAGATCCTCAGCTGATATTACATAGACTCAAAGATGCTCGTTCACTCTGTGCCTGAAAAGGCTTTAAAAAGTTACAGCTTTCTCCTTCTGTGCTCATTTGAACACTCTAAAATCTCAGTTCAGAGAGGTGTTAACACATGTTACTCTTACACATTCAAAATGAAATATGACCTTAAAGTTCATAAGAGTTTGGTAAAGTTGGATATGACTAATGGATCACTGTTACTTAGACAATGGAAGTGAAGACAGAAACAGTGGCATAGAGAAAGAGGTGATAGAGGATGACAGCTGCTTTTGAGTCCCCAGACTTATTGTGCTTTTATTGAAGTTGTCAACAAGGTTTTTAAAAACGGGATTTATGTTTCTGACTTACTTAATAATTTTTAAAATATAGCCATAGGTAAAGGAGTGAGCTTCAAAATAAGTGATTCAAACAAATGGGATTCAAAATGAGGGAGTTAAATGCATTTTGAGCTGTCAGTGTGCACTTGCAGCCCAGAAAGCCAGCCATATCCTGGGCTGCATCAAAAGGAGTGTGACCAGCAGGTAGAAGGAGGTGATCCTGCCCCTCTACTCTGCTCTCGTGAGACCTCACCTGGAGTATTGTGTGCAGTTCTGGTGTCCTCAACATAAAAAGGACATGGAACTGTTGGAACAAGTCCAGAGAAGGGCCACGAGGATGATCAGGGGACTGGAGCACCTCCCATATGAAGACAGGCTGAGAAAGTTGGGGCTGTTCAGCCTGGAGAAGAGAAGGCTGCGTGGAGACCTCATAGCAGCCTTCCAGTGTCTGAAGGGGGCCTATAGGGATGCTGGGGATGAACTCTTCCTTAGGGACTGTAGTGGTAGGAAAAGTGGTAACAGGCTCAAACTTTAGCAGGGGAAGTTTAGATTGGATACAAGGAAGAAATTCTTTACTGTAAGGGTGCTGAGGCACTGGAAGGGGTTGCCCATGGAAGTTGTGAATGCTCCAGCCCTGGTGGTGTTCAAGGCCAGGCTGGACAGAGCCTTGGGTGGCATGGTTTAGTGTGAGGTGTCCCTGCCCATGGCAGGGAGGTTGGAACTTGATGATCTTAAGGTCCTTTCCAACCCTAACTATTCTATGATTTTGAAATAGTAAAGGCTTTGGGGGTTCAGCTGCCCTGTCATTTATGGTCAACTTCTTTGTTTGGATAGATAAATTAAAAGTTTCCTTAAAAGTGTTTGGTCTTACTGATTCCTCATCTTCTTATTTTGCAGCTTGTCCAAAGGATCAATTCCATCTACAGTGCAAAAAGAGGGAAAAAACGACTGAAAAAACTTTCTATGTCCAATATTGAGACAGCATCCCTACGAGGTATGACACAAGCATTGTGGTTCACTGAATCCACTTGAATGTTACAGGATTAACTGATTCCCTTCTTTCATCCACATCTACCCTGGGGTCTACTTCATTTAGAACTTTCCTCTGCAAACACTGATAACTTTCAGTCTGCAGGAGGAGAAAATGGAGATGAACTAAAAATAAGTGAGATTCTCAGCATTGTCTATCCTGTTAATCCCATAATCAGCTAGAATAGTCAGCTGCTTTCGTTTACGTTTTGAGTAATTTGCATCTGTAAGTTTTGTCCAAAATTCATAGTTTTGATCTTGTAATTCATTCATGCTTTTTCCTGGCATGTGAAAGTAACTCACACTGTGCTTCAGACTGCTTTTGCAAAACCCATGTTTGTAGTAGGAGCACAATAGAGCTTCAATGGGAGTTCACCCCAGAAATACATCTTGTTATAAGGATACTTTTGCATGTTATTCTTGCTCAATTAGGTGAATTCTGGTGATTGAAAATGTTACCCAGCAGACAAAGCTCATAGGGCTTACTTCAACTTCTGAAACACTGAATAGCTCTTACTCAAAATAATTACAAGTCTGAAAAAGAAGTGGAAGGGTTAAAATCCATTTTCCAAATGGCACATTCATCTTTGTGGCTGTCCTGGGTTCAGCAGTAGTAGTCGTTTTTCTCCTTCTTGGTAGCTGGTGCAGTGCTTGGTAGCTGGTCCCAGTGCTTGGTAGCTGGTCCCAGTGCTTGGTAGCTGGTCCCAGTGACTTTCGGCCTGGGAACAGAGCTGATAACAATGATGTTTTGGTTTGGCCAAGGACTTTGTGAGCGTCATGCTCTGCCAGGGAGGAGGGGAAGCCAGGAGGAAGCAGAGACAGGACACCTGACCCAAACTGACCAAGGAGGTATTCCATACCACAGCACTTCATGCCCAGGATGTAACTGGGAGTTAGTCGAAAGGGCTGGTAGTCTGCAGGGTTGGAGGAGGTATCAGTTGGTGCTTGGTCAGGCTTCTGGGTCGGACTCGTTTCTTGGCCAGTGGTATTGTATTCTCTTCACTTGTTATTTTCTCTTATCATTGGTGGTGGTGGTAGCGGTGGTGATTTGTGTTGTACATTGGTTGCTGGACTGTTCTTGTCTCAACCTGTGGGAGTTGCACTCTTTTGATCCTCCTCCCCGTTCCTCCAGGAGCGGGGAAGGGGAGAGCCCCGGGGGGGGGACACCTCGATTGCTCTCAGCCCGGCACCACTCACTGGGAGTGAGTGAACAAGCTGTCTGGCTAGGGTTTAAACCACAGCAGTGGCTTAGCATAGATGTGGGTTCAGTGGAACCAGTTGCTGTAAAGGAGAATGAATTTAGCATTTTCATTACAATAAAGCTCTTATTCTCAAGCAAAATTGAAACTTAATCTGGGGAAAACACAGTCTAAGGAGCCATTAAAACTGTTTTATTTCAAGTTATTTAAAACTGAGGAGAGAGCATGTGTGGATCACAAGGCTCAGTGGGAGATATGATTCTTCCCAGTTTCACCACAGTCAACTAAGTTTGTGTTTGCTTTGGTTTTGCATTAACTGATCCCTCTATCTCCTCTGCAGATGACAACAGTGAGAGTGAGAGTGACTCAGATGACAGGTTTAAAGGTAAGGGATCAGCTTTCAGTAACTTCTAGTCAGCCACTGTCACACACCTTAGCAATGTATCTTCTCCTGCTACTGCATGTTCCTTTCCATGATGCTCTGTATTTTCCTTCCTGAACTATGTTAACTCCATTGCTGAAGAGCTCACACAGTTTCCAACACAGGAGCATGAATGCGGAAAGCAAGGACAAAATAAGCTGTGAGGATCTAAGAAGGATCTGGCAACTGTGTCATATAATGAAGAGCAGGACCTTTGATAGTTTTGCTTTGTCAGCCACTCCACAGATGCTGATGTCTTCCAGACTGACTACTGGGTGCAAACTTAGAGGGATGAGATTGGATAAATATGATCTCTTCTTACTCATACAGTGCTTTAAGTGGTTACTGCTAGCTGCTGTTGGAGGTCAGATTCTGGGTCTGATCCAACTTAATGGTTCTTATAGTCTTTTATAGCTCTGCAGTCTTGAAATTGTAGAAATTCTTTTATCAGTGCACAGCACCTGCACAAACTCTGCTTGAGCCAGGCCACTAAATTAGTTGCTCATTTTCAAAAGTCTTGATACACAGAACTATAAAAAAGTTGAAGGCAATGACAACAGATTTTATTACTAGAACCCCATCATGTTGTTCGTAAACGAGGGGGAGAACCCAAGAGTGCAGAGCTGTGGTTATAAGATAAGGGCAACCATATCTACTGCAGATGTCACCTGCTTACTATTCATGCAGGAAAACTTGCTGGAAAAATATTGTTGTAGGGAAAAACATTTGCTCCAGATTGTTGGTGGCAAGACCACCCAAAACCAACTATATACAGCATTGTAGTGTCATAGAATCATAGAATCGTTAGGGTTGGAAAGGACCTTAAGATCATCTAGTTCCAACCCCCCTGCCGTGGGCAGGGACACCTTATGCTAAATCATATCACCCAAGGCCTCGTCCAACCTGGCCCTGAACACTGCCAGGGCTGGAGCATTCACAGCTTCCCTGGGCAACCCATTCCAGTGCCTCACCACCCTAACAGGAAAGAATTTCCTCCTTATATCCGATCTAAACTTCCCCTGTTTAAGTTTTTACCCGTTACCCCTTGTCCTGTCACTACAGTCTCTAATGAAGAGTCCCTCCCCAGCATCCCTATAGGCCCCCTTCAGATACTGGAAGGCTGCTATGAGGTCTCCACGCAGCCTTCTCTTCTCCAGGCTGAACAGCCCCAACTTCCTCAGCCTGTCTTCACATGGGAGGTGCTCCAGTCCCCTGATCATCCTCGTGGCCCTTCTCTGGACTTGTTCCAACAGTTCCGTGTCCTTTTTATGTTGAGGACACCAGAACTGCACACAATACTCCAGGTGAGGTCTCACGAGAGCAGAGTAGAGGGGCAGGATCACTTCCTTTGACCTGCTGGTCACGCTCCTTTTGATGCAGCCCAGGATACGGTTGGCTTTCTGGGCTGCAAGTGCACACTGAAGCCGGCTCATGTTCAGTTTCTCATCAACCAACACCCCAAAGTCCTTCTCCGCAGGGCTGCTCTGAATCTCTTCTCTGCCCAACCTGTAACTGCTCTCTTGTAGACAGGTGCCAGCCCAAAAACACTTTCAGTTCTGTTTCTGTTTTTGTCAGAACATATAGGGGCTCCTTTCACCCATAGCCCATGAAAGAAGATAGACAGGGCCTGGACTCACTGTTGTTACTGAGGGAATACACTGGAAACCTGGAAGCTTTTACCCTGACTGTTGTGGAATGGAAGATCTTCATTCTGATGACTGCCTAACCAACTGCTTCTGTGTGACCTTATATTTGCATTGATACTAGAGCATCCTCAGTCAAAGATCCAGTTGTCACTTGTAGCAAGACAAGATTCATTGAGTCCTCAGGTGTCGGGTTGGGGTGAGCTCTTCATTTCATCTTGTGCAAATACGAAGCAGTAGCTAGCAGTGTGCAGCTACATCAAGGCAGGACAAGGCAGGTTATTTCTTGGGATTTAGCTTCCCTAGCTGTGCAGTCACATCGAGACTCAAGTGCTTTATCAAAATAATTTTTATGTTTGATGTCGTTGAACGAATTGATGACAGCTGGTCATCAAGGGGTTTCCCTTTCTTTCTCTCATTAATTACTGTTGTGATCAAGTGCTTGTGACATCTTATTTCCCTGCCAAAAAAGACAGCCTGCCTTTTGCAAACTGGGCAGTGTCAATGAACATAGCCTTAAGGGATTGACATGTGCTGCTGATGATTCATTTGCCATTGCATTGAGATGCTAGTGTGAAGAGGTGGGAAAGAACATGCAGGAAGCAGGTTTTACTTAGCTGTTTTCACTTTCTGGTCTACCAGAACTGGTAATGATACTGACTAGTCTGCCATAGGTGTCTAGTGACAAGTCACCGGATCAAGGCATATCTTTGAATGGCTGGATGTAATCATGAATCTAAGACTGCCCCTCAGTTGAACTGGAACAAGCAAAGAAATCCCACAGGAGGCAATTTACACTTTTTCCCTTCCCTGGAGATTATTCCATGGCTTGTACAGACTAAGCCTGTGCTGTAGAAAGAGAGAAAATACTCTTCGTGGTTCTTAGATGTGCTAAGAAGGGACAGGTTAGAGAACTGTGTTTCACCAATGTAAACCAGGTCTAAGTCAGGCCTGAGATGTGTCACCCTGGAGACCCTAGGTCATTTGCCTAACCCACATAAGGGCTCACAATCTAGTTTTATGTGAAAGGAAAAAACAGACATTTGGCAGGATAACAGTTAGGAACTGCAAATTATTTCAGTGACGTAGTGTTGCATCACTTCAGTACTTGGGGAGTGTTCTGATTTATAAATGTAGTTAGTGAGCGAGACTGCAGTATGGAGGTTTGCTTTTGAAAGGACAACATGCTTGGAATAATACACTGGCAAATTGAAAGTCTTTTGTGAATGGCTGTGGCTTATACATACACATTACAGTCCCAGGTAATGATCTGTCTACTTTTCTCCTTTTTTTCCCCAATGCTAGCTCATACCCAGCGTCTAGTACACATCCAGTCAATGCTGAAGAGGGCTCCAAGTTATCGAACCCTGGAACTGGAGCTGATTGAGTGGCAGGAACGGGAGTTATTTGAGTATTTTGTGGTAGTGTCGCTGAAAAAGAAGCCCACTAAAAACACTTACCTCCCAGAAGTGACGTACCAGTTTCCCAAGGTAAAAGAAAAACTCTTATGTACAGTTCAGTCTAAGATCAATAAGGTGAATAAGTGGGAAATTTAATATAAAACTATTTTTAGAAGGAGTTAATCATTCAGGTTTCATAATTGTTCCAAAGTGACCTGTTACAAAGTGAAGGGTATAGAGAAGATGACTGAAAGCTTTCCCTGTTTACAAATTTAGCTTTTCCAGTGCTGGAGAGTTTGGCCTGACAGTAGGTGCTTTAAAGACCCGTCTAAATTCAGTTTCTAAATATTCAACTTTTAACTCATTTTGGCTGTATTAGGTTTTGTTCCAAAATCACTGAAGTCAATGGAAAGACTTTTGCTGATCTGTGGCATTTCTCTTGTGCTCTTCCAGCAGCAAGGAATTTGAATTAGGACTGTGTTTTAAGTGGCCATTGTGCAATAGGGGAGTTTAGGCCATTTTAAAAGAAAAACCAAACACAAGAACAATCAAACAAATAAAAACCACACCAAAACCAACCCAGCAGTGATTATCTATATTGTACTAGCATCTACAAGCCTGTCCTGGAGTTGTGCCTCACTCTGCCATGCACAAATAAGAACTAGCTGATGGGCCCTTGCTCTTCAGAGCTTATTAATAGCCCTGCTCCTGAGAGGTGCTGTGAAGTTGGCGCTAACAGTAACTGACTGAACCTCAATTTTCTCCCCCGCAGCTTGAAAGACCAACCAAGCAGATGCGTGAAGCGGAGGAGCGCCTCAAGGCTATCCCTCAGTTCTGCTTTCCTGATGCCAAGGACTGGCTCCCTGTCTCTGAATACAACAGGTAAACCCTCCGGTGCTCCTCTGCTGCAGTGCTGATGGAGTGCATCTGGAGCAGGCACAGACTCACTGATGCCCAATTAAGGAAGCAGCAGTTTGAGTCCTGGACACTGCAGCCTCAAGCAGCTGTAGTTAATCTTTTTTAAGTTCTGTATTAGTTTTCTTCCTTTTCTCCCCACCTCACATGCCTGTGTGGTTGAGCGGAGGAGATCTGAATGTTTCTCTCAGTGCTAAACCCAAAAGCATAAATGGAAGTATTTAAAATACACCACCTGTTCTACCTGGCCGTGAACAGTGCCAGGGATAGGGCATCTACTGCCTCTCTGGGCAACCTGTGCTAATGTTTCACCACACTCGTTGTAAAACATTTCTTCCTAATATCTAGCCTGAATCTATTCTCTTCCAGTTTAAAACGATTACCCCCTGTCCTATTGCTACAGGCCCTACTAAAAAAGTTTGTCTCCCTCTTTTTTAGAAGCCCCCTCTAAGTATTGAAAGGCCACATAAGGTCTCCCCAGAGCCTTCTCTTCTCAAAGTTAAACAGCCACATCTCTGTCACACTGTCCTCATAGGACAGTGCTTCATCTCTCTGCTCATTTTTGTGGCTCTCCTCTGGTCCCTCTCCAACAAGACCATGTCTTTCCTGTGCTGAGGACTCCAGAGCTGAACACAGTACTCCAGGTGGAGTTTCCTTGCCCTAGAGTATGAGATGGGTTTTTAGGATGCATGGTCTGAGACAGGTGAATGAAGTAAGACCTGTTCGGAGTGTGTCTAGAGGGACTTTCAACGATGACAAGGAACTAGCTTTCACCTGCAGGAACTACTGCAGCCAAGAATATGTATGGAACTTTAAACTGGCTTACGTATGGCACATGCAACATTACCATGTTCTGTTCTGTGTTGCTTGGCTGTGTTATTCAGTACATGGAAGCACCTGAATAGTGAGTTATTGAAAACAATGGAGGAGAGGCTGACAACTGTTTGGCAACACTGGTATGAGAAGCACACAGCCCTGCCTACACAGCATTTCACCTCTTCTGCTGCTGCTCCCTTCCATGAGCCCATGTTTGTGAAGCAAGATATTCCTCCCATATATAGCTATAATTATATAAACCCTGGCATTCCAGAACAAAGAAAAAGTTGTTTTTGTAATGTCATTTAATACTTGAAAAGCAGTCAGGAATGTTTATCAGTCTGGGTGCAAATTCACAGACCCATCCCTTTACCTGTGCTGTAATTATAGCCTCAAGCTCTGTTTTACTTCTCTGTCACAAACGTTACTCATCCTAGGCAGGGTTACAAAATGAGCTGGATATTGGAAATCTGTGTTGTTTCCAGATTAGAAATTTTCTCTAATCTTGGAGAATCTAAGGTTCTCCCTTTAAGAACAAAGCACAGTCCAGAGACAGGATTTGCTAAAAGTTAAGGGAGATAGTGCCCTCCAAATCTGCTTCTTGCACTCCTTTTGCAGTAAAAGAGGCTGCCATCCCACTGAAATCCAGCTCCCATCTCTTCTTACAAGAAGACAGCTAGTTTGTCCCCAGCTACGCAGATATTTTTGCCCTACAGCTGATTGAATTTTGTCCACAGAGTATTTCCAGATGATGGGGAGAGGGAGGGAAGACCCCACAGTGGGTAGAACCTCTCACTGGATACAGCAGTATCCCTTTCTAGATGATTTATCTCATAGCTATGCTGTAGTTCTGATACTAAGACCTGGGCAATTTATTTTCTTCTAGTGAGACCTTCTCTTTCATGCTGACTGGGGAAGATGGGAGCCGGCGGTTTGGTTATTGCAGGAGGCTGTTGGTAAGTACATCAGCTTTGTCTCAAAACACAGAATTCTGTTAAGCAGTATTTCAAAACTATAGTCTGAACTATGAGGGTGTCTCTCATGGTTTTAAAAGAAAATGGAGTTACTCACTCTGAAATTTGGAAGCTCGAGTAAATAGTTTGTAATGGCTGTCTCAATCAAAAGCATCCCATCTTGTAGAAAATTCATAAGAATGTGAAAATTTCCTGTGTGAGCACTTACTTTTTAAATTCTTTATATTATGTGCTTTCAAGCAGAATTAGAAATACTACAACACTGCAAACAAAGGCAAAAGTGGTATTCTAAACATTTGTGAATAGTGTTTATCTCCTGGACAGCTGCTTACATCCCCAGAGTACTCTGCCAGCACTGCCTAATCAGTCTGCAGCAGGTACATGAAATAAGTAAATAAGCCACCCTGCCAGGCTGGAGGACAGCAGTGATTGAGAGCATGCCACCATAACTATTTGCTCAGGACCATGCAATAAGCTGGTGCCAGTGCTGGGAAGCCTAGGTCCTCAGGCTCCTTTTCAGTTCTCATGACCAGGGATAGTCGAGGACAAGACTTAGACTATCAAACAGTTTTATCTCGTCACCTGGAAAATCGCTGGTCACCTGATAAACTGAGAGCATGGCAGTGTGTGTGTGTTGAGGGAAGGACTGCACAAAGGCCACAAAGTGTATTAAGGCAGGTGAAGCACAGTGCAAACAGGGATTATGCTGTCTGTCCTGCAGACATACTGGATGGCAGCAAAGCATAAAGCAGTTGGTTGTTCTGCCCTAGCCTGTGCTCATCACCTCGGATAGGTTTGGAGCTGGTTGTGAGTGACTAGGTGGAGAGCCACGGCTCCTGTGCTGTTCACATGACAGTTGTCTACACTTGGCTGGAGCACTTATACAGGTATGGGATTCTGCAGGAGCCTTCTGCATGCTCTCTGCAAAATAAATGTCTGCAGCAGCATTGCAGATTGTAACTAGTACCCCCTATCTAAGAGAAAGTGACACTGGCACTTTCCCCTTCCTTCCCTTTCTGACATGATTTCCCATCTTCCCAAGCAGGCACACCTGCCTTCAGTAGCTTTCAGTGGCTTTCAATAGACAGAGCAACTTGCTGTCATTAGAACAGCACCCTCCATCCTGTGTGCTGCCTGTACCTGACCCTGCTCTGTGTCTATGGTAAAGCTCCTTGTTTTGCAGACAGCAGATGCTCTATCTGGGAGGTTTTGCTGTGTGTGGTTCCTCTATTTGTAAAAAGCCTCTTTTAAACTAACATAAAAGAAAACTTGTTTATCAGTTCTGTGGGCAGTATTTGCCACAGGTAGCATCACGGAGACTCACTCTGTATAACACAGTGTGTAAGTGTAGGCCACAATGTGGTTTATAGATGAAAACAAAATGTCAGTGAAGGCTTGTGTTGCAGTAAATCTGGGGTTGGTCAGGGGGTGATTCAGAGATAAGCAAGAGGAGCACCTAGAAGGTGTCCTTGCTGGTGTAAACAAGATGTAGGGCAGCAGTACAATTCAATTAGTTTTTAATGTGAGATCATTTAAAAGGGTAATAAGGTGTATCTGGAAAAAAAATAACAAAACCTCAGAAAGTATTGGCTAGAATTAAATTATGGCATGCTTTCACCACCAGGTAAAGGTGGTTTAAGACTTTTATATTTCTGGGAACATTGGCAATTTTAGAATCATGAACAGAGCTTACATTTGTGAAACGCAAAACAGTTGATCCTGGACCAGACTGAGACTGAAATAATCAGCAGCAATAAAAAAGAAGTATGCACAGGAACGTTGAATTAGCTTGTCAGTGAAGGACTGCCATAGGCTTTTTTTTTAACTCATTTAAAGCTCAGTGAAATCCACCCTTCATTAAAGGCAACATAAAAATAAATCACTGAGTTTCAGCTGGTGCAGAAGATATGTTAGCATAGTAGGAAATACTGGGAACAGAATTAAATCAATACTACATACTTTTATATAAATGGTGTTTTGTTTTCAAAGATTGGAGATTGTTTTTCACTATGGTAAAACTCAATCAACCAGATAGCAAAAAATAATTTAAAAATGGAAAAATAAGTACTTTTTAAGTCTAGCTAATGATTATAAATCCAGTTATAAAGCTGATCTGCTGCTGTCCCTGGAGATCACTTAAATCAGGATGTTTCATCCGGTATCAAAACCTGACATGCAGAAGCTGACATGTCTCATCTCACTGGTACAACCTTACCCCAGGGGGTGGAGGGATACTCCTGTACTTTACCAGTCTGTCCCTCTCTGGGGCCTTCTGAGAGCAAAACTGGTACAGTCTGGGGCTTAGAAAGACAGAAGATTTTGGAAGCTGTGGAGGAACAGCTCAACATTTCTTTATCTGGGGAAACAGCAAAAGTAGCAGAGATCTACTGTTGTTTGGATCCTGCAACCTCTTCCTGTCACATCCATGCTTTTTCATTTTGTATATGCAAATATGAAGCAATGAGGAGCAGGTAAATTCTGCAGGCACTGTTTGCATGCCAGAGGCTTGGGCTCTAAAACACATTTTTGTATTTGGGTGTTCAGTTTCCTGAACAGTTTTTGAGAGATTCAGTCAGGGTGGCTCTGATGTCCCGGAGCACATTGCATCTCCTACGGTTAGTGCCATTTCTGACCTACAAGTTCTGTCAAATCCAATCCGAACAACCTTAATTTGGGAACTACATGCAGTTTTTGGCAAACATTAGAGAAGGGTGGGGCCACAGTGTATAATACAGAGCCATAAAGAAACCCTAAAATCATTACAAACTGCTCTGCTTCAAGACAAGCCAACTGCTGTGAGGCTAATTCCTCAGAAAATATTCCCCAGCTGTCCTGGCAAGCAGTGCTCTTGTAATACCCAGCTGGAGGTGTCACACCTTCCAGAGCACTTGGCAGTCCTCAGCTCCATGGCTGGATGGGCCAACCAGCCTGATCCTGGGGGGATGGATACCTGTGTCTTTGTAGAGGCTGGTTCTCCGAGTCCTTTGTTTATGAAACAATTAGTTTTTGTCAGCCCTGCTCTCCTTTGGCATGTTGTGATATGAACAAACTGCTCTACTTTTTCTTTCCTGCCTTCAGATTTCATGTTCTTCCAGATCCCCTTTTTGGAGTGTGTGTGCTAAAACCCTGAAAAACTACCTCAAGGGATACAGTGACAATTATGTTCTGTTTGTACTGCAAATCCTGTGCAGTATTCCCTTTATATGTATTCATATTGTTTTGTTTCATTTTGGAATGGGATTAGAATGGAATGTAACCTATTGTACCACAGCAAACAGTCTGCACTTTCATAGATAGCAAGTTTCCAGTTACATCTTGATACCTCCAAGGCAATCCTGTAACAGCTTTCTTAGTGACTTGATGTGAGAAGTACGCATCTTCATACAAAAGGAAATGGGCCTATATACAGTAGAGATATTAACTCTCACTGCTAAGACATTTTGCTGCAAATAAGACATTTTTCTTTAATAACTCAGATTAATTTAACTTTCTTTTCCATGCTAATTAACCCATGAACTTGCTAGGCTCTTTTCTGGAGCAGTTCTTGGGCTGTGGCTCTGCAATATGCACATAGCAGCAGTAAAGATAATTTGAGCAGTTCCTGCCGAGGGCTTAGCCTCACCCCACCAGTCAAAGCCTTCTCCAGTGGACATTGCAATGTCCCCAGTGCTATGGGGAAGCAACCTGGATAGGGGCAGAAGGGAAAGCAAGAGCACAGGAAGAGCAGCAGCACACAGTAGGGAACAAAAAAGGGTGAAGCTGAGTGTTCCTTGTAAAATACAGATTTTTCATTTGGCTTAGTGTATAATTTCATTTTACTAATCACCTTGATTTAATACATTAAAAATTGCCTTCTATAGGGTGTGACTGAAGTCTTAGCTCTTTAGCTGTGCAACCCCATAGGCTTGTGAGAGTAAGAGCACAGTGGATACATAAGGATCACAGTGGTGAAAGCAGGGACTTTCTCAGTGGGTTTCTGCTGACAGAGCCTTGGCTGCGAGACCCACCAGGATTAGGAAATCTGCAAAACTTTCCTTACTGGGAGGCCATGAATCGTCTCTGCAGCCCAGAAAAAGGGTACAGACAGCCAGAGAGACACCAGGCCTGTATCCTTTAGGAGATGCTTGAATCCAATGCAGCTGCTCAGCAGCCTGGGCTGTCAGTGACCTTATGGCAGGGATCCACAGCTGTGCCAGTCCCTGTCCCCAGGGAGTCATACAAGCTGCTCTTTATGGGATCTTCATGAGTATCTTGGGCTTTACTGCTATGGGAGCTGCTGCAGATGCTGAGGGGTGCCAGTTACAGCTAGTGGGGCAATAATGGAGTATAAGATACTGCATCCTCAAAACAATGTCCTGCAGTTCATTGCTGCAGCTGGTTAATGGGAAGAGTAGGAGACACACATAGAAATCATATAAGGGAGATATCTGAGAAGACCCAGTTCTCAGAGCAGAAAGCCTGACAATGTCAGGATTTCTTGGCTGGTAACTTTGTACTTGCATAAATAAGACTAAAACTCTCAGGGTCTGTTTCACCCTGTCTTATCTCTCTCTTCCTCTTCACATAAAAAATGCTTCTCCACCACTTTTCTAGGCTAAGAAGACTCAGCCCCAGGAGTCAGTGGAGGAGCAGGTGCCTGAACATGAAGTGTGTACATTAAAATGAAAACCAGTTGTCAGGTGGGACTAGTTCATCCTGCATTTGCTGGGGCAGGAGAAGAGACTTTGTTACACTGTGAAAACAACTTTTGTGGGATGAAGACTAATGTCTTCTGAACTGAAAAAATCTCATTGGAAATCTTTTTCTTCCCCTTGCTTCCCTCCCTCCATCCTGCTTCCCCCAATCACCTTTGACAGCCCTATGCACATTGGGTGCTCTGGCATTAAAAACTAATGGTTCACATATAACAAGATGACTTTAAGACAAGATTTTGGATTTAAAACACCCACAGTTTTCTCATGGTTTGAATTTGGATTTGCCCTAACAATGAATCAGGAGTTGCCACAGCAGCTGGCTTGTGACTGTCATATTCATTTTAGGCTCCTAACGTTTGAATTGTTCTGATTCCTGACAGCATTAAGGAACATCTCTGTTCTGGGTATGTTGGCTTGCTGGTGAGGCTAGGGCTTGTGTGGCTATGAGGATGTGACTAGTTAGGCTTAAGAGAGTTTAAAGGAGTGATGATCTGACCTGACAAAATACCCTGCAAACCTATTTCTCAGCCTCTGCTGAGGTCTGTCACTGTTTAAATTAAGCCAGTAGCAAAACAGCAGACTTCCCAAGAAGGGGCCTTGATGGGTTTTCAGTATGTCTGTATCTCTTTCTGAAACCGCCAAGCCTTATCTAGTATATGCAGAAAAATGCTCATGGGAGGCATCTCCTCTATCTTCTCGATATCACCCATTGAGGCTATGCACCCCGTCAGCTTGTGTGTGACTAATATGCCTGAGCAAGGGAAACGTGCTGGGAGGTTATTCAGGAATACTGTGTTTCCCTGTTTAAGCTTTGGATTGAATCTACATATTTCATTGTTCCAAAGTCAAAATGGTCCTAGAGCCAGGTAGGATAAGAACTGTGTCCTTTTCACTCCCATGCAGAAGAGAACAAACATAACACAATGCGTGTGTGAAAATGGCATTTGTATTGTCACTTAGAGTTAAATATTTTTATGTACTGTCTCTGTTACATGATCATTGCTCTTTTTAGGGCTAATTGCAATTGAAGCATCTACAGTTCTGGTCGCAAAGGGAGCCCCAGGTTTTAGAGGCTTATGCAGAGCTAATGCATGTGCCTTTCAAAGGCCAATTCCTTTAGGAAACTCAGCTGCTGTTGTGCATTTTTGATGGCTCTTTTTCACCTGGCCTTGGGACAGCCCTTACTGCTCTCTCTGGTTTTCCTAATATTGCTCTCTGAAGAATTATTTAGAAGATCTCAGGTGAGATGTCCTGTCCCATTTTGGGCAGGAAAGGGCACAGCTTTTCTGGAGTCTTCATGTTGAAGCTGTAGTCCTGCTTCTTTGAGGTGGCAGGTGGGACTATGGTGCATGTTCCTCTTTCTTGCTGTTTGGTAGGTCTGTTTTTGCTGCCTTTCCTCTCCACACAGTGTATCCTCAGGTAGGTAGGAGAAGCTAGTCGGAGACATCCAGGAAGAAAAATATTGTGTTTGGTCCCCACTGCTTTGCTTCCTCTTGATGTCAATGTGCTGGGGGTAGCATTCTCCAGTTATTTCTGGAGCTGTGAATCCAGGAACTTTCCCAGTACCCCACAGCCTCCCCAGTATCTTAAAAACACTCATACCCCTGTGTTGTTTGTCTGAATGGCTGGTGAGTACGGGCACCGCAGGGACAGCCCACCTTGCTTTAAAAGCTTGCATGTGCAGTATCTCAGAGACTCTCAGTGCTATGCCAGATTAGGAGGAGATCTCTGAAGGCTCCCCTGGATTTCAAGCAAATGGGCAGGGAGGTGTGATTTGAAAGAGAAAAACAGTAGGCTTATTTTTTGGAGCAAACGCCTTTTGTTTCTCCTGCCGAAGCAGGTTTTGGAGTGGGCTTTAGTCAGTGAACTTCAGATTACACTCACTGTAAAAAAGACTGTCCTTAGCCACTTGCAGACCAGCCCTGATGCAGATCTCGTCTCCTCCATCTTGTAGCCAGGTTCTTGTCATCTCATGTTCATCCTCTTGAGAAACTGTCTTGTTATCAACAAAACTCATTAGCATTTTCATTCCTGATACTGGACTAAGGCTGAAAATATCCTCGTCTCCATAAAAACAAACTCAAAACAAAACAAAACATCGTCCCCTCCATCCCTCTTCCAGAAGGAATGCAGTGTAACAAGGCAGAGTTACTCAGATGCCTCTCATCTATGCTGCTTTACCATACAGCTCCCTGAATTGGACCTATTCATCCTGTGGAAGAGTGAGCTCTGGAGGACATGACTCCAAGGCTTTGTAGCTACCTTGTAGAGCACAGCCTGCAAATTGGAAGCACTCTCTTCTGGGAAAAGAGGATGTTAAACCAGTACTGTTGGCCAGACCCTGTGCCCAAGTCTCCCCAGGTGAAGAGAGATGAGTCCAGGCAGAGAAGTGAGAAGTCATCTCCCATATGATGTTTTACTAGGAAAGAAGCAAACTAAAGCACAATAAGCAGGTGTTCTGGATCCATCTTTGAGCTGTAAACTAATGGCTGAGAGGAGAAGTTATGTAAAGAGTTGCCAGTGTTAGAAATTTGAGAAGTCTTGCCCCTCAGAGTGGCTCTGCCTGAGGCTTTTGCTTTCTGCCTCTTTGATTTGTGTGCATCTGGGAGACCGTGCTGCTTGCAGGAAAAGGTCCCTGAAATAACAGGAAAGGATGTCCTATATGATGAGTGTGAGGAGGAAAGAATCCCAGCTCACAGAGACATGAGCCTTTAAAATGTTTGGGAGCAATGGTATTTCGTAAAGGTGAATCTTTGAGTAAGAGCTAAGCAGTTATTGTTTCTGGTCTTATAGATGACACAGGAATGTGATGTTTTTACTGGCACCCAGTGAGACAGCTTTTGGTTGGGAGCTATCCAAGACTCCTGGCATGGTTTCGGCATTCCTGCAGATTTGACACAATGATTTTAACCAAAATCCCACATGCTTGATATAATCACTCAGTGCCTTTAGAAAGGGTTTTATACCTAATATGGACAAAAAAGGGCTCTGCTTTTTCAGAGATGTGACGTGTAGTGAGCAGGTTTGGATCCAGAAATAGACTCATCTGTATTCACTTAGCTTTAGTTTTTTTTGTGGTCTTTGTTGTAACAAGCAGACACCTGCTGACTGCCCAAGTCTAGATTGCAATATTCGCATTTAAAAAACACAGCTACCCCTCAGTTTCTCTTGATTTGACATCTGTGTGGCATATAAATGTCAAACACACCACAGGGAAGTTAATCACTGTATCAGCCAAGTCTAATGATGAGACAAAGATAAAAATATACATGCTGCCTATGTGGATAGAGAGGAGACGATCAGCCACTTTGGCTAAATGTACAAGTGGGCAGAAGTTGATGGAAACAGTGACTGAGCTCCTTTATCAGTCGTTATTAATGGGGAGGATTCTGTCACTGCTGTATACCAGTAATGTACAGCTGCACAAAGAGGTTGTGATGCCAAGTGATTCTTTCAGAGCCACTCTTCACTCCATGCTGCACAAGCATATCTGGCTTCATGAGATTCAAGGAAGTCGTCAACCTTGCCTGTTGTCTCATACCCCACTTTCAGCTTTTTGCTGCTGGGTACTAGGGTTTGCTAGTGTACCCGCAGCAGTTCTATGCTGATGGACATAGATAGCTCCTGGTTGAGGCATGACTGGGACTTGACTGTATTGTGTCTTGCGACTACATGTGATGACATCTGAAGTCAACAAGCTGCCTTTTTAAAATAACAGCCCCTAGGAAATGTGTGCCTGCTGATCTCGTGCAATTAGTTGCAACTACACAAAACAGGAATGCTGCATTGCAGCTTATTAAAAATACACTGGGAAGCTGCTATGCATGGATGTCACTGCCGCCTGTGCATGCTGTACACACGCAGGACACAGACAGGACAAAGGCAGCTCTTTGCTCTGAGGACCTTGCCAGTGAGGATGGTTTTACTCAAGTGCTCAGCATTGACCTAATTCTACTTCTTTTCCAGTAAACAAGCTGAATCCAGCCAGTGGCTGTATCCTTCCTTCATAGACAGTGCCGATGGGCCTTTACTGTCTAGGTATAGGCAGTTGCAGAGTCCAGTATGCTGAGGGAATACACATCAGTCGCGCCTATTTAAACCATTTGCTTCTCTAGGAAATAGCTTCAATAGCATGGTTATAGAGGATGGTCTTTGCAGGGGTTGTGTTTTTTTTTTTGGGGGGGGGGTGGTGGTGTTGACAAGGGATACATATCATTGATTCATACTTGCTACTATTCAAGAGTTTGATGTTTATCATGCATTAACCTGAGGCAATTAATGATTTAGCTCATGTGGCTTTCCTTTTTTTAGGTCTATGTGATTGCTTTCTGTAAGTTGAGTTCTGGAGTGAGTGGGGAGCTAAAGCCATCATAACTAGTACTGTAGTTCTCATCTTCCAGCACATGGCCCCAAGGTGGCCCACTCCTCATGCTGCAGCAGCAGCAGAGGACAATGACAGCACAGGCATGAGTTACAGTCACAGTTAAATGTGCTTTTATGGCTGCAAACTGGAGCAGTATTGGAATACAGCTCCAATGCGCTGTGATTTCCAAAGCGGATAAGCACTATTTACACTTTTTAGTTTCCTGTCTTATGGAAGAAACACAATGCTTTTCCAAGAGTAGCTATTTTGATGGAGAAATGGACAGTGAAAGATGTCACATGATGGCCAACATGATGGCCAACAGAGAGAAGTGTATTTCCTTATGACTCCAAACTAATATCTAACTTCAATCTCCTTTTTACTGTTATCAGCCAAGTGGGAAAGGCCCTCGCCTGCCTGAAGTTTACTGTGTCATCAGCCGGCTGGGGTGCTTTGACTTATTTTCCAAGGTAAGGAGATTTTTAATTTGATTGTTTACTGAGACACATCTGCAGCAATGAACCAGATGAGAAGAATTTCTTCCTTTGATGGGAGATAACTCTATTTTACAGTTGCTGTTTTGGATATTCCATCCCTATTATTGGGTTCATCAAAGAATGTCTTATTCCTTCTGTGACTGAGGCAGAACTTGATTCAAAAAACATCTGGGTGTCTGTATGATCTGGCTGACTGAAGGTTTTTCCATTGTTTTCTAAAGCCTTTCTGTGCTGAGTTGTAATTCTTGGCATCCACAGCTTGAATGATGGGCCAGTACCACTTTTACTCCAATACCCTGTGGAATGATGAAGTTAAGCAAAAAGATTATTTGATAAGTGAATTCTATATGCTTAACTCTGTTGACATGATTTTTCATCCTAGGAGGCTGGGAAAGCATGGATAATCCTTTAATTGTCCTCCACATTAATGAATCCAAAGCTGCATTGTATGCCGATAGAGTTTACCTAAATAATACATTTCTTGACACAAGAATTTTGAGACAGTAAACAGGACATTGCAGCTATATGGGGGGATCGAATAGCTGCAGAAACAGTTAACTGCCAGTCAGCTCCAGAGCCACAAGGATTCTTCCTTTGTAAGGCAAGAATTTATTAAAATTAACTATTAAAAACATTTTTGATTGATTACCATTTGAAATATCTCTCTGGTTGCCAGAACCTCCTAATCCTCTGAGAGTATGTCCTGTAAAACTCAGTGGGTATCTCAGAGTATCATACAGGATTTGCTGGTCATCTGTGGAAAACTATATGTGTAAAATCAAACGGCTGCCTTCCCCTTTCCCAATTTCGACAGTGTTCATAGAGATGTCATTTTAATTTGCCAGAGATTTTCACTTCAGATATGGGAAATCTCACAGAACTTACATAGATTTTTTTGTTGTGTTCATTTGTATAGGAATAAAGCTGAAAAGAACATGTAAATCATTGAAGTTAACAAAATCATAGTGTATTATTCATATGAACTAATAATCATACAGAATGTTATCTTCAAAGCAGGTTTCAAGCTTTTCTAGATAAAACTTTGTTTAACACAAATCTTGTGTGAAGAAAAACAATGGCTTGCAATAGTTGCAATAGTAGCAATTCTGCTTCTGATGTCTTTTCATAAAGCTCTGAAATCAAGGGTTCATAACAGTGTCTCTTGGGCAAAATATGTATCCAAACACAGATATCTGTGAAATGGAATGTATGGTTCTGGGAGGATAACACAGCTCACCAAACCTGTGGTATGGAGACATGTCCTGAGGCTCTTAGTTTGCTTTTATGCTTTTATCTAATTTTGATAGTGCACTAATTTTCAAAAGAAAACTTGAGAGAGGGGAAAAAATGGGAAAAAAACCAAACTGTCCCCCTTACAACCAAGTATCACTGCAGCTAAGGTATGAAGCCAGACAAGGAAGGTCACTGCACCAAAACTGCAAATCATCTGCTTTCCCAGTTCATTCTATCTTGAAAAAAGTGTCTTCTTTTTGTTTTACGCAACCAAAGTGAACCTAAGGTTGGCAGGTGAGTGTGATTTCACTGGCTGCAGCAGAGACTATTCCCAGGCATTGTGTTAAGCAGGCCCTGGTCACATAGCCCTCAAATTCTAGCTCAGTGCAGGAAGGAAGGCTCCCACTTGGTTTCTTATCAAATGGGGCTGTAACAAACCTGCACTCTTTTTCAGCTCATTGTCTCATGGGCCACAAAAGGACCCCATCTGCACTGGAGTCTGTCAACAGTGGTACTGTCGTCTCCTGCCTTGATGGTACTGACACCAGGGTGGGAGAAGGGTGTTCGGCAGCATGCAGAGCTGACTCCAGCCCTGGGCTGGATTTAGCAAGGCTCTTTAGCACACACTCCAAGCACTGCATTTGGAAACGGGTTGGAGGGATGAAACAGTTGTTAAATGGAAGAGGCAGAGTTTGAGCATTAGTATCCCTGTTGGTTTGGAGATTGATGTGGTCTGGATGCTGACAGAAGTTCTTGAAAACTGAGACAGTCTCTTCTTCCAGCCTAGTAAGAGGAATCTGGGCTGTCCTAATAGATAAATCCAGTGAAAGAGAGGAAAACAACCATCATGGTGCACTGTGTCAAATTAGTCAAAACAAGAAACAATTGTCTTTACAAAAAAATACATGTGATGAAAGACAACGAGAATTAAACCTTGGAAATTATCAGAAAAGCAAAAGGAGTCCTCTGTTTTAAAACCTTTAGCATCATGTTTCTGATAGCCTGCATTATTTTCATCTTCCTCAAAGCCTTTTATGGTCACTGTTATTATACCTACTGCTAAGACAGGCTTGAGAACCACAGATATCTTTACTTCCAGCCAGTTCATTTGGTCATGGTTTCAACAGATGTTTTTGGCCATTTTATCTCCTGAGATCTCTGTTCAACTTTTATACAGTTTAAATACTCCTTTTTGTTTGTGTTGTGAAGGTTGCTGGGACAGGGATATGACATACACAAGGCCCCCAACATGAAACATCAATTAGTGACTGCAGAAAAGGAGATTATGTGTTAGGCATATTATAACTGCATGCTGGCAGTGTATAGGAGCACTAAGGGACCCAGGGCATAGCTTTGGTTCATTACTACTTCCTGTTTGGGCAGCTGGTTTGGTTTTGGTGAGGATAGTCACTGAGCTGCAAATTACATCAAGAATGAAACTGATATCTTCATTTATGGCTATCTGCCACTTCCAGGGACTGGAATGCAAGTTATGTATATAGGGTCAGCTTTGCTTTAGTTAGGTCTTTACTGTGTTGCAGGGAGAAGGGGAAACTATGCACCAGTGAATGCTTCTGTTGGCATTCGGTGTCACTAGCTACCGTTGTAGGTCACCAGCTTGTGCTTAAGTATCTTTTAATGTTCTGTTTCAGTGAAAAGCATTTCCAAGAGAAACAACGGAAAATACCTCAGACCCACTAATTCTTGTATGGCCTTTTGCTCTTGAGTGGTGGTTAAAAGATCACCAGTTCAGGTCAAAACGCTAACTGCTTTGAAGCTTGTTTTCTCGTCTTCTTTAGTTTTATCATCTATATGGTCTGTCTGATGTGGGAAAACTTAGCTGTGATCTAATTTATGTTGGCCCATGTGACCGGAGAGAAGAAAATAATAGTCCTCTCTATCTGTAAGAAGCTCCATCTGCTTATTTCAAAACTACATTGCCTGCTCTACATCATGTCAACCAGTAAAGTGACCTTAATGCAGGCACTCAGTGTAAACAGCTGGGCATGCTTCATGATGCTGCTTGTGGCTGGCGCCAGCTCAGCACAGACTGAGACATAACTGCTGCTGACATGGCCAGGATTCTTCCAGAAGCTCTTTCCTGGTGGACTTCTGCTGGAATCATAGTGTGGCAGGATTGCTTTTCTTGCTGGTCTGGCCTTTTCCTACCCTTTAGGTTGAAATAGAAGAGGTGCCTAAGACAGAATAAAGTGTATCTCCTTAATACAAATTTCAAGATATACCACTGAGACATGATGCTGACCTGTCCTGTGATCATGGGATTTTTCGTGACCTTTTCCTCCTGTTGTTCAGGCAAAATCCCAACAATATAGATCCCTTTTGCCTTGCTGAGTCTTCTTTCTCCTTTCCAGATTTGTTATTCCTTCCTCGTCTCTGTCTTAACTGCATTCACAAACAGGCTTCTTTTTGTAACTAAAAAACCATTTTTAGAGTACAATCAAGTCCTGTGGCTTTTATGGTAGTGAAGAAATGCATGGCAGAGGAGAATTAAATCTGCTATGTGTTCAGGCACATGTGGGTCAAAAGATGCTTCAGAAGTGTATGTGGTGCTGACTTATTCTGTCTCTTTCTCTCTTATGTCTCACTAATGGATCAGATCCTGGATGAGGTTGAAAGGAGAAGGGGAATATCTGCTGCCCTGGTTTATCCATTTATGAGGAGTCTGATGGAATCTCCTTTTCCTGCACCTGGAAAGACAATCAAAGTCAAAACCTTTCTGCCTGGAGCTGGAAATGAGGTAAAAACCAACTGTAAATATAAACAGCAAAATCAAAACAGGAGGAGACATACAGATGCTTCAAGGCATGTGAGGTGGCACAACCTCCAAATGAGCAGGTCAGGAGCTGCACCGCTGTTGCATTTATTAATAAGTTGTGTTTAAGAAGAAACCACAACACAAATGTCTTAGTATGCCTGGCCTGGTGTGAGTAACAAACTACAGCGTTGCTGGGCTTTATCACAGTGATAAAATCATTTCCCATGCTGACTGTACTTGAACAGTCCAGCAGCTGGTTGTTATTGCAAACCTCATTATTGCTAGTCCTGGCCTTAGTAGGAGGAGTGAGCAGCAGTGTTTAAATGGCTCTTTTTGGCAGTAAATAACCTTTAAGTGGCCCTCAAAATAGTCTATATTTGGAAAAGCATATCATATAAAAGTTTTTGTGTGTGTGTGCGCACATATAATAGATTTAATTTCCTTCTGTTACTGACTCAGGTAGCTAGAAGCCTAGCATTATACAACATATGCCTTTCCGGAAAGTTGCAATGTTGATGCCTTGCTTAAAAAGGTTTTTTGTAACTTGAGGCTTCCTAGCTGTTTGCCATGTCAAATTCTGCTCTCTGCATGTCCTTATGTAAGTATATAATAGCTCAACTCACATGGGCAAGCATATAGAGAAAATTAATTGCTGCAGATAGGAACACAATTTGGCCCAGTTAGTGCAAGCAGGAAAAATTCCCCTCTAGGCTTATTTGACACTCCTTAGGGTTAGTTTTACAGCACTATTATGGTTTTAACTTTGAATCACATTTTCTCCAATTGTAATGCCACTGACTTCCATGGAGTGGGCCTTTAATGTCAGTTGGTATGAAATGTAAAGGGCTCCTTGTATTAGTGACTTGCAAGGCTTGTTTAAGTTGCAAGCATTTTCTTCTGGAGAAGCAAAGGAAAATTGAAAGGCTGATTGGCATAACAGTGATAAGATCTGATAATGCTGTCTGGATGTGAATATATCTGGGAACCATAGCTCTGCAACTTCTCTGTCTTCTGCTCAAGCCTCTGAACTCTCCCAGAGAAAAACATTGAGATAATTCCAAACAAACAAACAACTCTCTTCTGGCTGAGCTTTGCTTTCTGTTATGCTAGTACAAACTTGTTATTTAAATGGAATGCACTGGCTTAATTAGGAACAGAATCTTGTCCTTCCATTGTGGCTCCTCTGACCTAAACAAAGACGATGATTAATTGGGAAGTAGACAGTATATTTCTTTGTGATGAACAGACTGAAGCAGAAGACTTTACCAGGCAACAGAAAACATCCATGGCATTTGTAAAAGCTGCTGTAACTTGCATTGCATCTTACCCCGCAGCGAGATTTTAGCGCTGGAATTTTTGCAGTAAAACCAGCTCCTCGTGATTTGGCACATAAATGTGATTCAAGCTTGCAATGCAAATGCTAAGGAATGGAAGTGGGCATCTTTACTGAATATGAGAAATAGGTAGGCAGGCAGCATTCCTTGAGAAGGTAATCATGGAACACCATCACTCTGCAGTTTGATTCTTACTGCTGTTTGGGACAACAGCCGAGTAATGGGTATCTAATACTCTGGCACCATAATATTCCTGTATTTCAAGCTTAGAAAACTCAAATCTGTACACAAATACTGTTCTAACAGTGACTTTCTTTTTACAGTCCTTTGTTACTGATCCCAAAGAATAGTGCAACTATACTGGTATGAACTGGTTTCATTTCCAGTACGCTGTGGTCTTGATCGTATCTTTAAAACCGTGTGTTTGCAAGGAATTTTGTGAGAATTACTTTGGTTTAAACTCAGTACAGTATGCTCATGGAATGTGATGTCATGTGCCTGAAAACTTTAAAGCAGTCTAAAGCATCAAAGTGACGGTGCTTTTGGGACATACGGACAGAAGGAGATGTATATATGTTCCTGTTAATATGTCTTCAGAGATTTCAACACAGCTTCAAGTTGGCCAACTTTTACCTTTTCCCTTCTGTTTCCTCAGATTCCTCAGTAGTTCATCATTTGCTGTCTTGCACTTCATATTTTTCTCCCTCTGTTACTCTCTTCTTCATGGTTTTTTTTTCCTTCTTCTTTTTTCTGTCCTCCGCCTTCAAGTTCCACATCTGAGCATGTCAGTTGCAGAGTAAAAGGAAGATATAATAAACGAATCAAGCAAAAGGCATTTGAGAAAAGGAAGGAGAGGGCCTGAGGTCATGGCTGAAGTATGAAAATTAGACTTTAAAGGGATGTCACAAGTCACCATCTAGGCCTTGTCCTGTCTCCCCAGTTAAGTATATATATGTACATATCTTTATGACAAAAAAAAAAGTTTTAACCATTACATAGTGAATTCTGCATCATGGAAGAGTGTAAATGAAGTAATTTGGTTTAATTCTTTAAATTCAGTCCCTGGCTGCTATCTGGATGTAAATTTGAATTGCTAGCTAAGTTTATAACCAAATCTACCTTGTCTTTATGGCAGTTTTGACCATGTAAGCTTCCGGTTCCAGTGTTCTCAGTTTGTTACTTGCTTCATACTGTTGACTCAGCCAAGCTTCACATCTCTGATGGGGGCTTTTCTTGGAAATGGCAGTAGTTTTAACGTGCTCAACTGTATTCTGGGAAGAAGACTGACTTCACTGTGAATTGTGTAATATGCCATTTCTCTGGAGTGCTGTGCCTTCAGCTGCAGTTTGCGAAAGAGGATGGGGGTTGTTCTCTACATCTCCCCAGCAGAAAAGCACGAAGCAGTGCTGGAGGGCCCGGGCTGGGGTGCTGAGTGCCCTGGTGCTGTCAGCCCTGGTCAGTGATGCTGACTGATGTTTGTTGGATGTGTTCAGGTCATTGAGCTGCGGCGGCCCATGGACTCGCGCCTGGAGCACGTGGACTTTGAATGCCTTTTCAAGTGCCTCAGCGTTCGTCAGATCATCAGGATCTTTGCTTCTCTCCTGTTGGAGCGGCGTGTCATTTTTGTAGCAGATAAGCTCAGGTAAGTGGCAAAGGGACCTGAACCACACATTCAGGACAGTACTGTCGCTGGATTCAAAAAGCTTTATGTGATATCCAGATGGTTGTCAGATATGAGGATCCCCTCGCTAGAGGATTTAAATGATTTTTATGTCAATGGATGTTATTTGCATCAGGTGGGGCATATATTCACTAGCAGTCACCAGCTACAAGCCACTTGTTCTGTCTTACTTTCCCTTTCGTAAAATGGCAATAACAATACTCTGCTTCATATCAGCAAAGGTTTGCAGTGTTTTGAGGCAATATAGTCCTAGCAATATTCTGTTTCAGGTTTTGGAACAGAGTACTCATAAACAGCAGCAGAGACTGTCACTGAGGTGGTTCATCTTGTGGCCATACAGTCCAGCCAGGCAGGGAAGTGGGGTGCTGAAAGTTCACCTGGTTTGCTAAACGCAGTACAGAGTTTATAATGGGGATAGGCTCCAAATCCTGCACTACCAAACCTATCCAGAGAGAGTGTTAATAATACTATTATGGTCCATCCCAACTAGTTTGGATATTTTCCTTCATATTCAAATTACCTGAAAACATTTGTTTTCTGAAGCTCCATCTTGGTCAACTTGCTACACCCTTTCAGTGTACCACTTACTTCCCTGCCCTTTGATTGCAATCTCCCCTCCCTGGGTCCCCTGAGACATGAACTCACCTCAAGGTGTAGTACAAGCGACAGGTCACAAATTTACATGGCCTTTACCAAGGAAATGGAAGTTCTGTGTAGTCTGCACTCCTGCTCTGCAGCAAAGGATCATCCCTGGTTTAGATGCTTGTGTAATACACATAAAAAAGTGTGGACGCTGTAAAGAAGATGTTATTTGTTGTGGCATGATATATAATAAAAGAGGGCAAATAAGAATAAAGACCCTAATTTATTAGACTCAGGAACATCAAGCATCTTTTAAAAAGACACAAAAGACTGTGTGGGTGGTTAAAAACTCATATGGCTCTACCCAAACAAACTCTGTTAAACACTTTATCAGCCCTAAATGACCGCCAGAAATAATAGCTGCGCTTCGTGGCCGCCAGTGTATATAATAGCAAAAATACTTTGCATAGTAAAAGCTTTACAACCTTTAGGGGAAAATGTCTTAAAGCTGCAGACCTTTCTCAGGTTATAAAGTTACTTCCTTAGCGTCTTTTTTGTTGTCTAGAACAACAGGAACATTTTATTTCATCTCTTCCCTTGTCAGTAACTCGTAGTTTGAATGACCATTTGGGATGACTTAATTTCACATAAACTCCTGGTGAGAATTGTGTAGCTGGTCCAGGGTTTCTGCAATACTTTACTGGATATGTGAGTCACACCATGAGTACTGGGGCAGGTGGCTTTTGAAAACTGTTGGCATGTTCCTTCTGACTCTTTTTCTATTGCATGCTTCATTACATCGTTCTGTCTGTTTCTATTTTACTGTTCATTTAGAAGAATTAGTGGCACCCACAAGTCTGACTGTAACTCAGAATGACACAGGTCTGCGTTCCTTCAAATGGCACAGTGATTTGAGTGGAAAATCACAAAAATGGTACACAGAAAAATGAGGACTGTGCTGTGCTGCGGCCAACTGGTGCTCTGTTTTGGAGTTCCCTGTCACTCTTTTGTGATGCTGTCCTTGTTTGGCAAAATACCCCGAGCCCAGATCTGTGGACTGCAGGCACAGCACCGCGGGGATGGCTTCCTGCAGGAGACATCCTCAGCTGAGGGCTGGGGCAGAATGCGGCCATTCCCAGAGCGTTTCTCTGGGATAGCTGGCCCAGCAGATGTCATGTAGCACTTCCAGGCACTGTTCAGAGAAAAGAAGCAACAGTTAAACCTACTGTGACAGGCTTAAGGCAGCCTGGCTTGGAAAATAGTCATGTTGCTGATGTTGAGGGCTCATGTTAACTCAGGCCTTCATCAGGCAACCAGGGTTTTGTACACACTGCAAGCCTGACTGCAAGCTAACAGCTCAGGCTTGCCCATGCAAGCCTTATAGCTACATGCCTCAGAGCAGACGATAACAAAGTCCTGCTTACAAGCAAAGTACTGCTGCTCTCCCTTTTGGCACACAAATAGAGAACCAGGACCAACAGGAACCAGAAATGATAAAGATCCCCTTTTGTAAACACATAGCTGAACATTACTCTCTCTTGCAAAGCCTCTTCTTCAGTGAACTGTTGTTTCTATTGTGAGGACAAGGCATCAAGTTAGGGACCATTATAAAGTACTTTGAGAAGGGAGAGGATTCAGAGAGATCAAAGAAGCTTATGAGGTTTCGTGGTTGCTCCTGTAAGAAGGGACACGACCTTTCTTATAAAAAGGTTTACGTTCATATACTTTATTATACCCACATGTACTCTTTATTATGTACATATAGTTTATTTAGTTTAAAAAGAGTATGACAAAATCTGCTGTGGTAGATAAGGCCCTGGATTAAGACTTGTGAACCCTGAGCTGTCCTTCTGAACCTCTCTGACCTGCTGTGTGACTCATGCTGGAAACGTAGCACCTCTTTCTTACCTTCTGTCTGGTCTGTGTTGGATCTTAAATGCTCACGGAGAGTACTTCTTGCCCTGTGTGTGTGTGCACACAGCTCTACTTGATACAGTGCATCCCCTCTCAGCATGGGGATCTTGGAGGTACTGTAAAATAGAAACTAATAATGAGTCCTTTGACAAAGGCCTGCAGAAAGTGACAGTGGATTTAAATTCAATACCTAACTCAGGTTTTCATGGTTTAAATGGGGATGAAGATCATAATGAAACACTCTGGCTTTGAGCTAATAACTGTCTGTCTTGGAACCTTTGCCTTGTCTGACCTGAATTTTATTTATGGGCATCATGGCTGAAACTGAAGGAGTTTACCAGTAATGTGGAAAAAAAAAAAAAGTAGTGAAATATCTTACAGGTCCAGTCTGTGGGCCCAAAGAATGAAAGCAGGAAATTAAAAAGATTTTACAAGGGTTTGATTTCTGCATGTACCCAAAAAAATAGCTTAGAAATAAATGACATTGAGGTTTAGGCTTCAAACAATGAGATGCAGTGGGGTTTTGTGGCTGCCTGTTTAACAGGTCTCCAAGCAATAAATGATTTCACACATTATACAGGTTTGAGAAAGTCATGCCTAGTGAAGTGAGACTCATTCAATAAATTGTTACTTACAGTTCTCATAGTGCCCAGAATGTGAAAATTTATACTCCTTGATCTTTGTGCAGAAGAAAAAGAAAGTGATCACAGAAAGAAATGAGCAAACAATAGTAAAGTTTTGAACGACAGGACTGTGAGGGTGCCTTGGTTGGATATGTGCAGTTGGGTTGATTTTTTTCCCCATATGTTGCTTATATTTTTTTTCTGCTTGAAATTGGGGGAATAAATCCCTGCAGCTATTTGCTCACCTTTAAAAATGAATTTGAATCTGCCAGTGACCTTTTAGTATTTTGCTCTCCATGAACAGTCAAGAAGAAAACAGTGAAATAAAAATAATGATAGAGAAACTTGGAATAACTCAGAGAAAGGTAACTTAAAGCTCCAATTCCTTAAACATCTGCTGAAAGCACAGCTGAGTTGGCATGTCCCCTCGCAGTTCCAATCCCTGTCCCAGGTGGGAGCCCCTGTTTGTGTTCCCACCATTCTGTCTGTTCACCCCAACTCTGAAACGACCCCAGGACTGCCATTTGCAAAGGGAGAGCTGGTGTAGTGCAGTCCTCGGGGGCTTGAAAGGCTGGCAGTAGATGCAAATTCAGTGGTTTCTGGGGCTCAGGGAACATTGGTGTTGCTGCAGGCACAGAGGTAGCAACAGAAAGTAAATAGAAAGCAAACACTGGAAGAAAAATATTTCTCTGCTTGTTTTAGTTATGTTGGGGACAGGCTTGCTGAGGAAGTGATACATCCATGTATGTGAGAATAGCCTTTTCGCCTTTTCCCCTGTTTGGAGAGGGGGAAGGAAGACCTCGGGCATGTCAATGACCCTTTGTTATAACCCCATTTTTTATAAATTAAAAACACTTCTGCTATAATCTACTATATTGTGAAGGACTCTGAGCATAATTTGCTTACATTTCATATATAGGTCCAGTCCATCAGCATCCAGAATCAGTGGGAATGTTTGAACGAGGCTCATCTTTTGCTGTGGATCTAAATCCTAGAATATTCATTTCAGCGACCTTTGTGAAGGTTTAGCAGCTGTGAAAAGCTTCTTTGGAGTCCTTGTCTTTGTAAAAGACAAAATAACTTTTCATTGTTGTGACTTTTGGTTTTATATGAGATACTTCAGCTACTTCTCAGTGAAGCAGGAGCATGGGCTTCAAGGGAAAAAACTCTGTTGATAGCAATGGGTTTTATGCTCATAAACCATACAGGTGAACTTGGAAACATAGCCCAAGGTGAAGGTGTGCCAGGCATTTCTCCAAGTGGCAGTGCCAGCTCAGGAAGTGCCCCCTCCTGTTCCCCTTGTTTGTTCCTGCCGTTTGCCATGCTTTCCCTCACCCAGGAGTCTGTGCCAGCCCAGCTGTGGTAGGAATTCTGTAGTTTCTCCAAACCAGATGGGCCCCTTGGCCAGGTCACACCAGGAGCTCCTGTGCTGGGAGAGGTTCAGAGCAGGGGGCTGGGTTTGGGCAGGAGCATTGGAATGGGCACACTTCAGGGTGGTACTGCCACTGACAAATGTTTATCGTGCACCATCCTTAGCTGTGAGCTAGATGGGTTTACTGTATCTTACAAGATATTGTAAGTTTGTGAATAAACCCAACACACTTTTCACCTGTGTGCAAGGGAGATCTGAGGGAATGAAGCTGAGGCAATGTTGTATGAGAGTGAACTTCAGTGCAGCTACAGCTCCTGCACATCAGTGTCTTCATTCCTTAGGGATGGCCACATACGACTTTGTCTTCCCACAGAGAGTTTTTTCCCCTGCATGTTTCTCTGCCCCTCCACCAGCACACATCCCCTGTCCCAACATGGACCAATAGACTGTCACCTGGTGTGCTGCAGCGC